TACACGCGAAAATGTTCATGGTACGGACAAGGAATTATTTAATTAACGTTTGCAAACGACGGCCCGAGAATCGTAGCGATGTGAGTCGAGACTCGAAGAATTTAAACTTTTGAAAGTATCTCTTTCTCTGCTGCAGTTCTTTTCCATAAGTTGGAAAAATATGACGATGAAGTTTTATCGAAACTAGTGGCTCAAATAACTCACACCACTGTGATCCTTGACTATGCCTCGTATGAATGTTATAGGAGGAGAACGGGAACATTCCAGTATCATGTTCTTCGCCTGTAATTTCCATACGATTATGATATAATTATTTTCATGGTACAATGATCTAGTTTCCAGAGCCACCACCTCTCGATTATTACATAACTGACGTTTCGCCAACATTTTTGTCCGATGGAATATTTTACCATGGAAAACCGGCTCCCTGCCATAAATGCGTGGCTAAACAGCTCAGACCGATCAAAAGGACAGTGTGTGAGTTTATCGGTTCGAATGTCGAACGTAATCTTGTTCAAACACGATAACATTTCCAACACGCGATACCCAAATTCGAAGAATAAGTATCTTGTTCACGTTATGTGAATTTTCATCGAAGAATACTATGACAAGAGTCATAGTTTTTTTTTGTTGCAAGTCCTTCGATTATTAGCATCGGGCAGGCTTTTTTTTTTGTTTTAAAGCACGTGGCGATGATGATACGTTTATCCCTCATCGTTTAATCGATCCACCTCGGCTTCAGTCGCATTGAAGACGATGTCACAATTGAGTTAAGGCGATTGAATTAGGCGAATGTTCGTGTAATTGTTGCAGCCGACCCTCTAACGCCTATAAAGGAACTGGATTCGGATACTTTAAACCGATGGCTCAGGAAGGAGAAAGAAATGTACGTGGATTCTCCCACAAAGGATAATGGCGTCGTTTTCCAAACGCTTGGTAATATGCCGAAATGGAAATCTGAATGTCAACAAAAGCAAAAATGTTCGTACTTATTATTAATATCAATAAATATTGCGACCATACAATTCTTTCATATTGATTATACTTTTTATAATGAAAAGAAAATTCTCATTATACGAATAATAAGAGATATGTTCGCAAAAGTGGCATTTTAAGTTTAACGTACGACACAGCTGATCCTCCAAGTTGTCTGGCATATTAATTGTTTCCCATTTAAAGTAATAGATCGGCACATACCAGTCTGGCAATTTCGGCCAATCGAATCGTCGACCGGACGAATAATTGAACGACCGAGAAGCAATCGACGACCAAGCGAATCCTCGAATTAATTCGCTAATGAGTCACGAGTGATTTGTAACCCAATTTCAGCGAGCCTTCGTTAGAAAAACCAGTCTAATTGTTAATCACCGATTCATATGCACCAGCGATAACAAAACGTTGTGCACAGAACAAGCTTTGCAATTTAAACAAACGCTGAATTACCTAAACTTCTAACATTTTTATTATACGTTTGCTAAATTTGCTGATTAATAATTTTCAAAATATCGTCGATCTACAGCTGTGTTCTCGATATTCCCGCGATCAAGGCAGTACGAATTGTGGTACATTCGTGAAAGACGATTGAAAGATCTTCAGAAACAGAAAGCACCCATCGTACCATGTGTCGAAAAAGAAGAAAGACTCGAGTAAGTCTTCTTGTTGCTTCGCTAAAAGAAGTGTTAAGAATAACACAGTGTTCGTAATAGGACAGATGACGAGCCGTGTGGTCTATCAAAACCACCAGATAAGCCCGGAAAATTGAGTGAGCTTCCGGTTGGAAATATAAACGACTGCGCGTTCGAAAAGTTAAAAGAGTTCGATCACGAAGAGAAGCTTGATATCGATCGTTCGAACAAATACACGCCAGGTGTAATTCAGCGAATGCAGGTATTGATGTTATTATCGATGCATCCAAAGTCTTCTCTACTTAAAGTGAATTTCTTTCGCGAAACTTCCAAATATTTTTTAATTTTCAAATTTTCGAATTTCCTTTCAGGCAGCTCTTAACTATTTGATAACGTTCTCTAAACCAGTACTAGAAAAGAAAAGAAAAAGAAATTAAAATAATTTGTCCTTGTTAGCGTGAGAACAGCAAATGCGTGGAATTAAATATCCGGGATACCGTACCACGTCGCTGAAATCGTCGAATACGTATGAACTTCATTCGTTTATTCGACGATAAAAAAAAAAAAAAACGTGTCTTTATCTCGAGGCAACGCGAAATAGGTTCCAAGGTTTCCACAATTTCCACTATTGAAGCGAACGTTTTGTTACCTCAGTTGTACAATTATCGTTCTTTTTAGTAAAATAAAAAAGACACACTAGCATTGATAATCTAAACTATATAACAAGATTATTCAAATTAAATTGATCCATATTGTTTTCAATTTCGATGACATTATTTACAAAAATCATTGCATGAAATAGCTTTACAGTGTTTTTACAAAGGTTTGGATTTTAGAAACATTACGCGAATAGCAGCTGCGTAGTGTTTGTCCATCTCATTCATTCCATAACGTTGTGCATTATATGCATTAGGTATCACATGCATTTTTCATACAGTATTGTCACCAAGGCTGCGTAATTACGTGTTAGAAAATATACGTAAAACAGACGTAAAATGCAAATATTGCTAGCTTCATTTTCCTCGATTGATGCACATAAAAGATAAATTTTTTGAATAGAATCCGGAAGACACGAGTGTGAAGGACGCTCTCGAGCATGCAAATACTTTTGAAGTCGTACAAAAAAGGAACGAAACTTTGCCAGTAGAATCACTTGTTGATGTAAATGTTTGCCATTCTGGAAAACGTCGTAAGTTAGTTTTCATTTTTGTTTCTTACGAATCTTCCACGACTGTCTACATTTTTTTTTTTTTTCCTTAAATAATTTCCTTCTCCCATTAGTTGCAAATGATCTTCAAATTTATATATAGCGCCAATAATGGATAATTGTTGTAAATTGGAGGATGACATCGAAGCTGATGACGACAGACGATGGCAGCCTCTTCACGAAAACTTCGAATTTCCAAAAACGAAATCTGAAAGAGAACATATGCTGCGGGAATTAACCAGGCCTTTTCTACACGATATGCACACGTGGTATACAAAGAATAAGCCAACAAAGTTGATCATCCCTCTTAAACATTCTGGGAAACGACCAATCCCCGAGTGGCGTTTCTCTCATTTGTAAACTGAATTTAAAAATTAAATTAATGAAATTATTTCGACAAACATTCTTAGAAATGATCCAAGCTAAGTAGATGACGTTTACATGGAAAATAAACGATTGTATATTGTAGGATAATCTTGCACAACATAATCGATTGATAGCTATAATAAATCAATAATAACGTTATGAAATCCGTTGCACAATTATGTTACAATTTTCAGTTGTAAACATCGATAGTTAACAGCAAGAAAAAAAACTTAAAACTGTTACTCTCATAATTTTAAAAAAGATTGCAATTTTTACCAATTTTTCCTTGTTTGTTTCCATTCCTTAATATTTTAATTAATTTAAAATATTTAACCATTATTTCGCAACAATGTGCACAGTTATAACTTCATGTATAAGTAAAAAAAACGGGAAACTTCAAATATCTCAACAATAATTGAAAAAACGAAAAAATAGAGAGATATGATGTTGCAATTAAAGTGAGCAATATGTCGTTAAAAAATTATGAAAGTGATTTGCTAACATATACAGACAGATAGCAAATGATAAACGCATTTAATTCTAAGAATTAACGTAACAATGTGAACGATACTATTAAATTACACCATGAACGGCCACGATACAGTTATTATATTTCTATTTTGCACGATGCTTGCAAATTCCGTCAGCGGCGCGCTCATCCTCACGACGAAAACTGTATTGTTACGTTGTCTCTGGATGCTGTCCGAAGATTCCTCAACATTTACTCATTTTTAAATTTAATTTTTCCTTTAAAAAATAATTTAAGAATTAATAAATCGAAAAGAAAAATCTTTAATAATTATTAAATATATTTTTTATTATATTTAACTATTAAATAAATTTTTCAAGATGGCATAAATGAAACCGATCGATAAGATATGTTTCTCATATGTTGCATTTACATTTCATCGGTTACAGTTCTCGATTATCAATAAATCGGCGTCATTGAATTATGAATCAGATTACTGGAAAAAATCTTTTCCTCTTTATCGAATATCTCGACAGGATTTATTACTTAATGTCGTCTATGTTAACTATATTTTTGTAAAGATAAGAACGTACAAATTACATAACGCAATGCAATTATAATGACATTTCAAATGGTGGCAAAAGATATGTATTTAATAATTTTCGGCATAAGACTTGTACAATATGTTGATTATCGTTATCATTATACTAACCTAACTTAACGGTTAAAGATAAAAGATTTGATTGGTTACTGCCGTAATTGATTGACATTTGATCGTTTAAAAGTCGTGTCGTTCATTTGCATGCATATAGTAGTACGTAACTGCAGACACGCCGATCAGGATTTCATCATACGATCCTTACCACGTGTTCGTCGAACTAACTTAACACGAAAGCCATGCCTCCGACTGCAAATATTAATTTAAAGATTACGTCAAGCTACAGATAAACCGATTAAATATATAAAACTGAGAAAACTATCTTTTCAAATGATGAGAAAATACGTTTCAACGTATTGGGAAATTTTAACTAACAAAAATATAAAACTTAATATACCCAATAAAGCCATTCAATAAATATACGTACGTATGTGTATAAATATATATAAATATTTATATATGCTTATTTCTCTTTGTGTATGTACGAGCGTCGAACTTCAATGACAAAAAGGAAAATTAATTCCATTGTTCGTAGAGTTAATTATTCTATGATTTCAAAAATTTCGTAATCGAACGAAATTCGAGCAAAATTCGACTACTGATCGCTACGTGGGACGTTAGACCTCTAGCGGTTGGCTGATGAAACGCAGTGGACGCTCTTCCGGGCACAAAAACTTTCAGTTTATTCTCGTTTATTCTTGTCTGAACAGCGGTCTCCCTCAGTCAGTGTTTCGCGGTAGTATACGGTAGTACGTGTAGCACAAGCTGCTCCACGGTGTGCTTTGTGACTTGCTACACAGTGTCACATTCGCGTCTTGATAAGTCCACTATATAAGCCGGCATTTGCCAGAAATGAAGTAACGTCGAGCTACGAGATTCACCCGTACATGCCACGTTCTTCTTTACACACCATAAAATCACCAAGCATTTCTGTGCTTAACAGCAGGTATGTGTGCAGACTTCGATTTACATTTGAAATCCATTATTAGATTCCCGTTTATCTCCAGCACTGTCTAAAGGCTCGTAATAAATGGCAGATTTAAATCACAAAACATACGGGAAATCAGAACGATAATTAGAGTCGTTTACAATTGATCGATATCAAAATTAGATTTCCGCGCGAAAATACGAGATTGGCGATAATGAATTGCAATTGTAACAGATTGCGCGAGTTTTCATTCCTTATTCTGAAATTCATTGGCACGTCCCGAACTGGTTAAGCAAGAGAGGTTTCGCAAATATGGATAGTGTATTTTCGTACCTAGATCTAGGATGTCACGTCGATCTGGATAGCGTCGATACATTTGCAATTCTATCAGGTCTTATTCTTTCGTTGAACTCTACGGCACGTAGTTACATATATTTTGTAGAACTTCGTGCATGCACGTCTAGTTAATTATATTGAACTGTTATTTAACACAAATATTCCATCTGTATTTTTGCATTTCAATCTACACAAATATAAAAAGAGGAAAAGACCGATATTCTGAAATTTTATTTTCTGCAATGTTATTTTACATCTTACCTTCCAAGTGTGAACTCGTTGCGAGTTTCACATGCACAAGCTTATCGATTTAATTTTAAAAGAAGGTTAGATTCAAGGATCGTATCCACATAACGTTCGAAAGAAGTGCAACTTATTTGTAATGCAAATTTTCTCATACGATTTTGCATTCTTTTCAACTCGAAAGTCCAGATGTTGTAATGGCAGCCATTGGACAACAGCTGTTCCCTTGATGATACCTAATTTTATAAATTGGGAAACTGTAGTGTAATAAGAAATAAAAACAAGAGGGAAAATTCGTGTGAAATTTGAATAATTTGTACCTAGAAGCGGTGAAATTACAAACTTTGCAACGTGTTTCATTAGTGCAGCCACGCCGCTACGAGAGAGCACGTGGTGTTAAGTTGTGTGTGGACGCGACTTGTATGGTTCGTATAGTAGTTCCATCGCACAGTAACTTCGTATGATGTAACTTCGCGTCGATATTTCGGACCTGCGCATCGAAACTGCCGCTCTCTGTGTAGACTCATTCGTTCGTTACCCTTTCACGACACGAAAATCGATTTTTCTCCTGACTAATTCACACTTTTGATCACGTCAACTGTATTCTTGCGCTACATGCTTAGCAACATGTAACACAATATCTAATCAACAAATTCACTGATATCTTTACTGTATAATAATCATATTGTACGGTTGAAAAATAGCTTTTGCTTTCTGTTTTATCGTTTCACAAGAAATGATGGCCGAACTTTTTGCAATAAAAGTAATTCATGATAAATTGCATTATATTACCGTCACCAATTGCATCATGTTACCCATAGCAATCTACAATCTATGCATTTTCATTTCCATTATATTTTCAAGTATCCAATATTTTTTTGTTTCGTGTGAATCAAATAAAATCTTATCCGCTATCTAAATTATAATCTTTCAGTGCATTTATGTTGTAAGTAACAAAAAAACATAAGGGAAGGAAAATCCTCAGTTTCTGAATCGTGGCATCTATTATGGCATTGCCAAATAACACGGGTTGATGCATCAGAGGAAAAGAGACACATATTTCTTGAAATGTAAGAAGAGTGTGGTCAGTGCTGTTTGAGAATAGCATAGAAGGGATTCGACCTTGTTCGTACAACAATAAATTCTCGGAACCAAAGATATTTGGTATTTTTAATACCTCTCTTAGTACCTTAACTCTTTCTTGGAATTCTGAAAAAAAAA